TTTAACGTTAAACAACTCCGCATTTTTTCCCAATGAGTGTACTTAATAGTTTCAAATCTTTCTCAAGATAAGCAGCTATTATTTCCGTCTTAAACGACATTAACCAAATGATTCTTGTAATGAATATGCATTGTGTTTACATTGAGGTAATGTTTTCTTTTTCTAGGTGAAAATTAAAAGGATTAAACTTATTATTCCGCCCGTAGTTGCATATTTACGTGGATGAGAAAGAATTTCATAGATTCCATTCGCTATTGTGACATATCCTATATTGAGAAATGTTTTGTTCGCTGTCCCGTCGAACAGCTTCGGGTATAATCTCGTTTGATTTTGAAACTAGAAACGTAATGATGATCTCCGATACCCGCAGAGGTCCATTTAGAAAATACGATTTTCAGGAAACATCTTTTTTTTTGCCCATATTGCAAAAGCTGTTGCCGGAATTTCAACTTGTCCTGGGGACAGGGAATGGAGGCATTCGTGTGGATGGAGTGCATGGAATGAAGACCATGTGTACATGTGTGGCAGAGAGGCAGGTAGGAAGGTAGACAGACTCATGTTGGCCACTCAGAACACCGGTCCATTTCATTGAGTACGATTATTTCTTTTTCCTTCTCTCGTCTCTCGGAACTCTATACGATGTTTTTCATTTACCGGAAATAGTACGTGAGGCAGCTACTTCTACTACAATAGTCCTACTGGCGGAAAATCCCATAGCCCATGGCTGCTCGTTTTAAACGACGCGAAACAGAAAAAGGGATGTAAAAGCAGGCTACCAAGTGTGACAGCTGAACCCGAAATTTCAACACCGATACCTACTACCAAAGGTGACCTATTGGGGGCACAGTCGTGGTATAATTTCGCGTATATTCCATCTTTGCTATCTCTCTCCCCAACATCCGTTTTATCGTTATCTTAAATTTTTCTTAGCCATTCAAGTGGACGTTTCCAAAAACTTTTCACACCAGACTTCTGTGTACTTGCTTTGACTCTCCACCTCAAGGTAAATTAATATATTTTACTCTTTTAGTATTAAAATATTAACCTAATTCACAATATGACGCAAATATACTACCTTGTAAGATTCAAATCAACACTCTGATGAGTACACTTTGTTTTTTTGTTTTTTTTAAAAAAAGCCTTGAAATTAAGTATTAGTTATAGAAATCGATGTTTATCCTTTACCATCCATTACTTCGGAAACGCCTTAATTTGTAATCGCCACACAATGTGACCTAAATGTGGTCTACACCGAAATAAGACACCATAAATAAAAATGTACTTTGTTATTAGTTTGGCGCGCGTTGCTTCGTTGTTTGATCTGTTTGTAGCATTCAGTAAGTATTTATGTTTGAAATACTGGCATTCTTTTGTGAAAACTCTGTGTGTTTTGTATTGGCGCAACTATGTGTTTGGGATAGGGGCAGTTACGTCCAGCAACCAGGAATTCCTAACAGAATGAATTCAAATTCCACGAATTAATGACTTTTCACGAAATTAAATAAAGTGGATATTTTCAGAAATAACAAAAATGAATTAAGTCGTTAACATGATTCATTAGTGAAAGTATTTTTTTATCCATAAAATAATAACAAATGGTGTTTGTAATTTTTTTATTTCCGTTTGTAAAGAGGCATATTTTTGCAAACACAAGAACTTTACATTTAAAACAGCTGCTATATTTTAATTTAACTTAACTTCTAAGAAGTTAAAATTCTCATGAAAAACCGAGGCTTACATTTATTAATGAGAAAATATGATGAACCTTTTAACATACCTACCCCTTCTGTGTAATAACTAGC